TTCTTCTCTCCCTAGTGAATCTCTTCAATAACACTTCTTGAGGTTGGTGAGTTTGTTCTATAGGTGGTGCTTACGGAAGAATCTCATTGTTGTCTTGGTCTCGAACAATGTCAGGTATAGGAGCCTGAACATTGTCATGTAGTTCCGAAACGATATCTTGAACAACAATATGTATAGAGACCCGATCGCCGTCAATAACAAATTCTTCTTTAAAGACAACATTCCTTATGTTTTCTTCCCCCCAGCCAAAACTCAATATCCTCAAGGAATCTCGCATTTCCCGTTTCAAAGAAGGATTTTGATGTGGGATTGTAAAACTTATATCCCAGAGAGCGTTCAGTGTAACCAACGAAATAGTAGCTGACTGTCCTTTAGTCCAGTTTTCTTTCATGTGGCCTATAAGGTCGTGTCTCAGCTGGACAACCCCAAATGTGCAAGTGCCTAATGGTAGGCTTCTTGCATGTTCAAAGCTCATAGAGGGTTTTGGCAACTTCTTTACTCAGTACCCTGTTAAGGATGTACACTGCGGTCTTCAAAACTTCTCCCAAAGTTACTCTGGTAAGGAGGAATGACTAATCATATTCCTTACCATATCCTTAACAGTTCAGCTTCGTCGCTCTACAACACCATTCATGCTGGGTTTGCCCAGCATGGTGTATTGTGAAACTATTCCACACTCATTGAGAAAAATAGCAAAGGGTCATGAACGTTGTTCTCCCGATCCATCATACTTTCTGTAGTATTCACCACCACGGTCAGATCTGACAGCCTTTATTTTCTTTCCAAGTTGAATTGAAGTTCAACTTCAGCTTTGAAAGACTTGAAAATGTCCAGGGATTGTGACTTCTCGTGTATCAAATATAGGTAACTGAATCTTGAGTAATCATCTATGAACGTAATGAAATACTGTTGTTCATTCCAAGAAGCCGTAGGGAATGGACCGCAGATATCAGTATGTATTAGTTTTAAAACGTCTGTAGCTCTCTCGGTGCCTAATTTTCTAATATTTGTTCGTTTCTCCTTGACGAACTCAACACAAACTTGGAAGTTTGTTAAACTTGGGGGATCAAGTATTCCGTCTAATACAAGCCTCTGAATTCTCTACTTAGATATGTGACCGAAACGCTTGTATCATAAGGTGGTGGAATTCTCACTTAATTTTTGCTTTGTACCACATGAACTGGTTTGTAGTATTTCATTACAGGAACTAACAACATCAAGCATATACAAATTATCAATCAAATAACAGGAACTAACAAAATTTAAAATTTGAATTTTGATAGAGACTAACTTTACTATTTCCAAATGA